CACATCTGTGCTGCCTGGGAGCCAAGACTAGGTTTTATGTTTCTAAAGGTTGGTAAAAGGAAAACAGAAACAGAAAACACTTCCGTGACAGACCACATGTGGCCCCAGAGCCCGATGTCTCCACAAATGGCCCTTTACAGAGAACCGCAGTGCACGATACGGTGGAGAGAGCACCGTCCTCGGGAAGTTCCAGCCTGAAGGTGTCACTTCTCCATCAGGAACACCAGCAGACAGATCCTTCAGGAAAATGCTGGGAGTCCACAATTTCTTCTTTAAATATTTATACTCATCTACCAAAAAACCCACCAACCTGTCCAAGTCTCGTGAAAAATCTGTACACCACCGAAGGCTTCCCATGGACGGACTCTCCCACACTGTCCCCTTCAGACATTCTGTAACTGAGAAAGACACAAGACATTTAAATAAAAAGCATTCGAGGATGTGAAATCTTGGCCCTGTGTTCACCAACACTGTCAAGTAGGTTTCAATGTTCAGCATTGCGTCCACACCATTTGTGTTTTCACTATCAACTGTTCAGGAAAAAGCAGCAGGTGCACAGGCTTCCGTGGAGGGAAGGGCGGCGTGAGGCGGACTTGCCCTGGAGCACGGGTGCCTCTGCATTCCCACTGTCGGCACCTCAGTCACCTGAGCATGGGCGGCGCCGTCCACCACACTGGCCCCAGAAGCATCCTGGCTGTCGGGTCCCTGGGCTGGTCCCTGGCACGTGGCACTGTACATCCTCCCTCCAGGGATGTGGATCCCTCAGTGTCCCCCCCAGGCACCTGTCCTGGGTCACCGGTCTGGCAGGAGCAGGAAGGGTCCTGTCCTTCCAGGGCCAGGTCCTCCACCCCACACACAGCAAAACGTTATCTACAGTTCTCAGCTAGTCCATCCGTCTGCGTCCCAGTTTCTTATCTGGCAAGTGGAGGTAACGGGTCTGCTCCTATTTCCGCACACTACTGTGACGCCGTGAGGAATTCACTCAGAAGCCAGGTGCCAGAGGTCACAGTTTACCCACTTAATTCCCGGATGCCCAAGTGAAGGGCATCCTTACCCCCATCTCACAAAGGAGGAGCTAGTCACAACCAGTGGAAGCCACGTGTCCAAGGTCCCGTCACAGTTCTGCTTCTGAGCAGGCCAAGCCAAGCCTGACTGCCACCTGGCTGCTCAGCTGAGCACGCCCCACGTCACTCCGGAGCCGAGCTGGCTTCAGGACCCGCCGCTCTTCGGGAAGTGCTGCTGAGTACCCGGGGCCTGCCAGTTGTCACTCCTACTTTAAAGATAAGCTGCCTGCTGGCCCCTGAGCTAGAGAAGACGCCACGGCAAAGTTCACATCACCCCCACCCCCATCTCTGCCTCGGCGGGGTGGTGAGGAGAAACAGCCTCCAGTCTCAGGTTTGGCTTACAGTCCCCCCTGTGCTCAGCGGCTGTGAGGCCTTCAGGAAACCCTCTGCAAGCAGCCAGCCTCTGTTTCCTCATCTGTAAAACGAGGCTCTAAGAAACTGGCCAGGCACGGGCCGGGCGTGGTGGCTCAGGTCTGTAATCCCAGAACTTTGGGAGGCTGAGGCAGAGGGATTACCTGAGGTCGGGAGTTCGAGACCAGCCTGGCCAACACGGTGAAACCTTGTCTCTACTAAAAATACAAAATCAGCTGGGCATGGTGGCGCGTGCCTGTAATCCCAGCTACTCAGGAGGCTGAGGCAGGAGAATCACTTGAACCCAGGAGGCAGAGGTTGCAGTGAGCTGAGATCTTACCATTGCTCTCCAGCCTGGGCAAGAAGAGCGAAATTCCATCACAAAGAAAAAAAAAAAACACCAGACACAAAGGCAAAGACATTATTCCTCAGCAATCCTTGCAGTCGGTCTTACGGTTCTCTTTTACAGATAAGAAAACTGAGGCTCACAAAGGCTAACGAGGTGTCCCCACCCATCAGCATGGTCACAGTGGGTGGGAACTGGAACCTGCACCTTCCTGAAACCAACGCTTTTCCAGTCACCGAGCACCAGGGGCATCTTCCCTTCGGGGTGGAAGGGGGCAGGTGGCCAGACTCGATCCCCCAAGTGCCTCTGCTTTCCCATCACAACTGAAGCGCTGAAGTGATCCGGGCAGCTCCCTCCGCGTCGCCAGGGCTGTGCAGAATGTGGCTCCGTGACCGCTTCCTGGCTCCTCTGTGCAGAGGCCAGGCAGGCTCGAGGAGACCAAGGGGCCCTTTGGACTAGCCATGTAAACAGAAGACACACAGGAGCACCTCTACTCTCCACTGAGAACTCCACATTTAAATAGGGGCTACACTAGAATGCACCACCTGGAATGGGCACCCTATTTAGGCCAAAGCCAGGCCATCTGAAAGGGACTTCAGTCACATTCTTGGTCCTATAGCTCCTTACAAGTTTCCGCCTATTTTACTCAGACGGAATGTTTCCCATTAAAGCACCTTTGCTTGGCTGGAGTGAGAGAGAAAATTCCTGCTTTCCCACGTAAGGGTGTTCTCTAGGCAAAGCTCAGAGCTTCTCACTCTCCAGCTGAACTTGTGGAAAACCTACTAAAAACGCATCAGCCAATTCTGCTTGTCTGACACACACAACACGTACACCAAACACGGCTCGAACTCTGAACAGCCCAAGGCAGCGTGGCAGGAGCAGGAACGTGAACTTTGGACTTCAACGGCCTTTCAGAGCCCGGCTCTGCCTCACTCTGCCAGTGTGACCTGGACACGCTATTCCAGGATGCCTCAGGCTCCAGTCTGTGAAATGGGACAACAGCACCTCTCCTGCCTTCTCTACCAGGCTCTCACAAGGAGTCAGTGGGCGGCCCGTGGAGCACCCTCAGTGCCAGGCAAGGCAGTGCCAGCCCTGTTCCCAGATCAGGGCCAGCCCTCACAGCAGCTGCCCCCTGCCGTCCTCTTCTCTGCTGTTTGAATGCCACCTCCCCTTCAGAGGCACCCGTGACCGCCCACACTGACCCCAGTCCCCTACATCACATCACCGTTATTTATTTATTCTTAAAACAGAGTCTCACTCTGTCACCCAGGCTAGAGTGCCATGGTGCAATCTGGGCTCACTGCAATCTCCGCCTTCTGGGTTCAAGCGATTCTCCTGCCTCAGCCTCCCACGTAGCTGGGATTACTGGCGCCCGCCACCATGCCCAGCTAATGTTTGTATTTTCAGTGGAGTGGGGATTTCAGCATCTTGGCCAGGCTGGTCTCCAACACCTGACCTCATGATCCACCCCCTCGGCCTCCCAAAGTGCTGGGATTACAGGCGTGAGCCACCTCGCCCAGCCCATCACCCTGCTTTTTTATTTTGTGTACAATTGTTTTCTAACACCTTTCTGGTTTCTCAATTTTCTGCTAGAATGGAGCTCCTTGAGGAGTCCCTTGTCAGGTTCTAGACTGGGCCCTACCACCTAGAAGTCCATCACATAGTAGGCAGCCCATCAGTCACCTGTTGAAGATGACTACTTTAGGCCCAGTCACAAACAAAACTAAGAGGCAGATAAAACCAGTGCAAGCAGAGACCATGAGGACATGCCAGAAAGTGTAAAGCTCTCCATGTGCCCTGTTCCACGGCTTGCCACATTCATCCACGTGTGTGGTCCTTCACTAAGACAGGAAGCGCTGCTGCGTGGAATGGATGAAGTCCCCTGGCTCCCACCACTTTTCTCTTCACGTCCCCACCCCAACTCCTCAGGACGAGGAAAGCCCCCGGCTGCCGCACCAGGCTTTACGCGTCTGGTGTTGTTCCGTCCTCTGAGACGCCCTCCCAGACCCTGTCTCTTCCTTTTTCCCAAGGCCACATTCCAGCCTGGGCTCCTCTCTCCTCTGCGCCTGACCACCTCACATCTGCACCTGGCTCCGACGCACTGTAAGCGCGGTCACCTCGGGCACACGGCAAAAGCCAAGTGAGAGTCTCAATTACTGGGGACCCTTCATCCACTTAGGGAATAACTGCATCTTCCTAGGAAGTGTCAACCCAACTAAGAATAAAGTGCTTCCGAAACTACCGGCCAGTCCCTACTCCTCATAAAGAGAAAGCGGGAAAGGCCCCCTGAAGGTACCTAGGCTGAAAGCAGGCGTCTGTGCGGGGGGACGCCTGGCAGGGACACGCCTGGCAGGGACACGCCTGGCAGGGACACGCCTGGCAGGGACACGCCTGGCAGGGACACGCCTGGCAGGGACACGCACGGTGACTCTCAGTGGACCACACACCAGTACGCAGTCAGCCGGAGCATTTACGACTTTATTGCCTATTTGGAACACAATCGAAACCGAGGCGGCCGGTTTCCCTTCAGCCCGTCAGGGACGCCTCCACCCCAGGGCTTAACACTAAACCCTACAGATTTGCTCTGACCTGGACGCCGGACGGGGAGAGGGCACATCCCCGCTCGAATCCAGCCCAACGCAGGGCGCTGCGGGTCGGCAACTGCCCGCTTCCCCAAATGCCCGGCAGGGGAATCGGACGAGACGCGGCCCGGGTGGGGAGGGCAGCGGCCCCCGCCTGGCCCCTCTCCCGCTCCCCCGCCCCTCGCGGGCCCGAGGCCTCGGCCTGCACCTCCGGACCCCTCTCCGCCGCCACCCCCAGGCCCCTCTTCCCGGGCCCGCCCCGAGGCGCGACCCACATCCCCCAGGGCCGCGGGTCGGGGACAGGCTCCCCGCGGCCACTTGGGCCCCGACGGCCCTCCCCGCCCGGGCCTCAGCGCGGCCCCGCCCGCCCGCGGCCTTGACAGCCCGGAAAGAGCGGAGGCGGCGCTGCCCGGCCGTTCCCGCGCCACGCAGCCCTTCCCGGCACCTCGCAGCTCCGCTGCGGCCGAGCCGCGGTCTCCCTCACGGCCGCGGGAAGGAGGACGGCGGGGCAGGGGCGGCCGCCGGCGCTGCGCTCGGGCTCCGGGAAGCTGCAGCGAGCACTTCCGCTCCGTCCTGCGCGGCGCCGCCTCTAGGGCCCCCAAGATGGCGCGGGGGCGGGGCCGAGGGCTCCAACCATTTCCGCTTCCGGCGCAGGCGCGGAAGCCGTTGGCGGGCGTGCCTCTCGGCGGAAGAGACGGCAGCGGCGGAAACGCGCCGCGTGCACAGGCGCAGCTGCGTCCTCTGGCTCCGGGTCCGGCCAGCTTCACTCCAGAGATTGCGCGAGCCCAGGGACTAGGCCCGTGGCCACACCCCCTTGCGACAAAGACCAATGGAAGCGTGCGTTGCTGGTCGTTAAGGAAACCCCCGGCAGCAAGATGGCGGCGGCCGGCGAGGGCACCCGGAGCTCCCGCAGGCCGCGCCAGGACCCGCCGAGGCGGCCGCCCCGGGACGGTAACAACTGCGGGCTACAGGGCGGGTCGCTGTCCTGGGCTCCGTTCGGGGTGCGATCGCTCTACGCCCTCGACCCCCAAATGCTCACCTCGGAAAATGGAGGTCCAAGTGCAGCGGCGGAGCCGGGGCCACCCCCGCGTTCCCCACTCCCATCCAGAATTCGCCGGGCGCCTACCTGGGCTCGGCTCGCACCCTTCCCCGAGCCTTCCTTCCGCAGCGGGTCCAGCCCCGCAGGAGGTCGCCCCCCGCGGGCTCCTCGCAGGGAAGGCCGGGTTCGGGCTAAAGCCTCGCAGCCAGCAGAGCCTGGTGTTGCCATGAGGATCCCTAATCCCAGGACGCGGGGCGAGGGCAGGCGCAGGACCAGCACCAAGCCTCCTGCCTTCCTGGCCGGTGCTGTCTAGAAACTTGAGGATGCATTTCAAAAGCAGTTTTTGCCTGTACTTCCGGCACTTTGGATCACCTGAAGTCAGAAGTTCGAAACCAGCCTGGCCAACATGGCGAAACCCCGTCTCTTCTAAAAATACAAAAATTAGCCAGGCGTGGTGGCGCTTGTAGTTCAAGATACTCGGGAGGCTGAGGCCGGAGAATAGCTTGAACCCAGGAGGCGGAGGTTGCAGTGAGCCGAAATCGAGCCACTGCACCCCAGCCTGGGCGACAGAGCAAGACTCCGTCTCAAAAAAAAAAAAAAAAGGAGTAGTTTTTGACAGGAACTGTTCCTAGAATCGAATAAACGGGTCTGAAACGAATGCAGAGCTCACACCAGTATCTTCAGGTAGAACCTTCCTGATTTGGACATATACAGGAGCCTGTGGGAACCGCCTGCCCTCCTCCCCGACATTTTCCCATAAACCCTGCCCCCAAGATGTGCCTGGGAAGCTGGGGGGGAGGGAGCCTTGCCCCTTCCAGGAGCTGCGGGAGTTGGCTGGCACACTCAGCAACTGAGTGAGAAGAGATGAAGCTGGCCAGGCCCTCCTTGGGTATGAGTGTGGATTTTGTCCCCTGAGGATAGAAGGCCACTGAAGGGTCACAGCAGGGAATGGGAGGGTCTGCTCCTCGCCTGTGTGCCCTCACTGACGCTGCTCCTGTGCCTTCCCCTGGCCCACTCATCCCCTCTGCAACAAGGCTCCCCACCTCCCCCTCCCGACAACCCAGCCCTCCTCTTGCTGGGCCTGTCTTCTCTGCACCAAGTAGGTGCTCATCGTTGTCCCATAAACACATGAGCAAATGGGTGGACCGACAGTAGACAGGAGAGCTCATGAACCCCACAGGGCGTTTCTGGGCAGTGGAAGGTGAAGGGCACCAACCCCTGAAATGCCCTTGAGAGAGCTGCACTCCCTCCCTCAGAGGTGAGGAGACCACCCCTCACCTTGGAATGTCTGTGCTCACCTGTGTGTGTCTTCTCCATATTCAGGTTATGGTGTCTACGTATACCCAAATTCCTTCTTTCGATATGAAGGAGAATGGAAAGGAGGGAAGAAACACGGTGAGAAGCCTCTGGGGTCTTTTCTTGCAACTGCCGCCCCAAGGCTGATGGAGCCGGTTTCTCCCTGGGAGGTTGGGTGGGCAAGTGGCATTTCCTGTAGCTTTCAAGTACACTGAACCCTAGTGCTTCCCTGGCTGCTGGGGGTAAGGCCGGATGGGCAGGGAAGCAGGATCCTGGGAGACACCCCGGAGGGCCACCTTTAGCAAAGGAAGCTGTGACTCAGAAATTCTCCCTGGAGATTGAGCTTGTCTTTTCCAGAGTGAAAACAGACTTTATGGTTTATTTCTGATATAAAGAGAACCTACTGTTGTAGAAAGTTCAAGTAATAGGAAAAAGAAAGCATAAAGTCAGGCCAGGCACAGTGGCTCACGCCTGTAATCCCAGCACTGTGGGAGACCAAGGTGGGCGGATAGCTTGAGGTCAGGAGTTCCAGAACAGCCTGGCCAACATGGTGAACCTCCAACCCTATTAGAAATACAAAAACTAGCTGGATATGGTAGTGCACACCTGTAATCCCAGCTACTTGGCAGACTGAGGCAGGGAAATCCCTTGAGCACGGGAGGCAGAGGTTGCAGTGAGCTGAGATTGCGCCGCTGCACTCCAGCCTGGGTGACAGAGTGAGACTCCATCTCAAAACAAAACAAAAAAAAGTATAAAGTTGATATCACTTGGACCCCCAACCCCAGGCAAGTGCCATGACCCTTCTGGGGGGACCCTCCTGTCACCATGCTCCTCTCACAGCTTTGTATCTGCCATCTGCCAGTTTTCTTTCTTTTTTGAGACAGAGTTTAGCTCTTGTTGCCTGACTGCAACCTCCGCCTCCCAAGTTCAAGTGATTCTCCTGCTTCGGCCTCCTGAGTAGCTGGGACTACAGGCTCGAGCCACTAGGCCCAGCTAATTTTTGTGTTTTTAGTAGAGACGGGGTTTCACCACTTTGGCCAGGCTGGTCTCAAACTCCTGACCTCAGGTGATCCGCCCACCTTGACCTCCCAAAGTGCTGGGATTACAGCATGAGCCACCACAACCAGCCACTCTGCCCAGTTTTCTTTTTTTCTTTTAGCTAGAGTCTCACTCTGTCACCCAGGCTAGAGTGCAGTGGTTCGATCTCAGCTCACTGCAGCCTCCATCTCCCCGGTTCAATCGATTCCCCTGCCTCAGCCTCCCCAGTGGCTGGGATTACAGGTGTCCACACCACCACACGTGGCTAATTTTTTATGTAGCTTTTTAGTAGAGGCAGAAGGGTTTCACCATGTTGGCCAGGCTGGTCTTGAACTCCTGACCTCAGGTGATCCGCCTGCCTTGGGCTGTCAAAGTCCTGGGATTACAGGCGTGAGCCACAGCACCCAGCCACTGTGCCGTTTTCTACTGGAGGGTTGTCTTCTGGCGTTTTCTATATGAGCTATTTTTGTATCTGCCAGTATTTTCTATATTTTTAAAACATTTAACTTTTTTTTAGTGTTTTGCTACACAGATGCTTCTTTAGGGTCTGATATGAAAGATTCTTGTCCCCCAGGCAGGCATGCAGGCTCCCGTCCATGACTACTGTCAGAGCCTGGCCTGGACGGGTCGTTCCCCCTTTTAGAATGTGCTGTTCTGTGGCGCTGTGTTCTCCAGGCTTTTTCTTTCCTCACGTTGACAGGAGCAGGGTGATGGGAGTGTCCCCTTGGGAGGCTCAGGGATGAGGTCTCATCCTGCACTTTATTTATTTATTTATTTATTTATTTTTGAGGCGGGGTCTCTCTGTCACCCAGGCTGGAGTGCAGTGGTCCAAACATGGCTCACTGCAGCCTCAACCTCCTGGCTCAAGTGAGCCTCCCCCCTCAGCCTCCTGAGCAACTGGAACCACAAACATGCACCATCGTACCCGGAGAATTTTGAAAATGTTTTGTGGAGACAGGATCTCTCCATGTTGCTCAGGCTGGTCATCTGCACTTTCATTCCTCTGCTTGTTCTGGCTGAAGGTGCAGGCCGCTCAGGCGTGTTTCAGCGGATGTTTTGAGGACTTTTTATTTTTATTTATTTATTTATTTATTTATTTATTTTTTGAGACGGAGTTTCGCTCTTGTTACCCAGGCTGGAGTGCAATGGCGCGATCTCGGCTCACCACAACCTCCGCCTCCTGGGTTCAGGCAATTCTCCTGCCTCAGCCTCCTGAGTAGCTGGGATTACAGGCACGCGCCACCATGCCCAGCTAATTTTTTGTAGTTTTAGTAGAGACGGGGTTTCACCGTGTTGACCAGGATGGTCTCGATCTCTTGACCTCGTGATCCACCTGCCTCGGCCTCCCAAAGTGCTGGGATTACAGGCGTGAGCCACCACGCCCGGCCTGACTTTTTTTATTTTTAAATGCGTGTATAGCATGAGTGATGGAGCCAAACACAGCTCTTCGCTCTGAGAAACATCCCGATACAGCAGGCCGTTCGTAGCCATCCCAGCCACTGACTTCCCGTGACGCTTTCTCTTGCCAGGCCACGGGAAGTTGTTATTTAAAGATGGCAGTTATTACGAAGGGGCGTTTGTGGACGGAGAGATCATGGGCGAAGGCCGCCGGCACTGGGCCTGGTCAGGTGAGCGCCAGCCGGGATGGCACCTTCGCGCCTTTCTCATAACCTGCTGGGCTCAGTCAGCCCCTCGAGCCTGGACGCAGAAGGTAGGATGTGCTGTGAGGCGCCTGTGCGCTGGGAAGCCCTGGGGATCTGTTCCTGGGACTCCAGGGAGGCTCTGTGGTCAGCACCGAGAGCAACTCAGGCTTCCGGAGACGCTGCTCTGGAGTAAAGATGTATCAGTCCCGAGTTACGCGTTTTTCTTTAAAGCTGGTTCAGCCATAGTGTATCCCGAGATGGGAAGCCCGCTGTGGGGACGCCCGCGCGGGTGGCCAGGAGCTGTCTCCAGGAACCTCAGAGCCTCCGGGCAGAGCGGCCGGCGGGTGTCCAGTGGAGCTCTTTCCTCTCAGGCTTGGCTTTCAGTTTCAAAGAGCCAGGGGAAAAGCTCACTCTGCAGACTCCGACCAGAGGGTCCTTTGCCCTCTGGCACAGGGGAGCGGAGGCCTCAGGACAGATGCCCGCAGAGAGTGTGCCTAGGCTGTCTGCCCGCGCAGCTGCTGGGAGGCCAGACCTGCTCCCCACGTTTCCCTGTGATGTGCTGTGATGGAGGCAGGGCGCCCGTTCTGAAGTGGCTCCTGCGTCTCTCGGGCCAGGGATGGCAGGGCTGACAGGCGGCAGCCCTGACCCGCCTTTTGTCTCTCTTCTCGTCTGCATGCAGGGGACACCTTCTCTGGACAGTTTGTCCTGGGAGAGCCTCAAGGACGTGGCGTCATGGAGTACAAAGCCGGCGGGTGTTACGAAGGGGAGGTCTCCCACGGCGCGCGGGAAGGTCTGGCGTCCACGGGAGCTGCTGCTGTGGGGCGGGCACTTTTGGGGGCTTGGAAACTCGCATCCACCTGTCTGACTTCAGAGGGCAGGAAAGGAGGTGGGGCCCATGCCCTCTTCTCCCGCCTCACCGTGGCCGTGCCCTCTTCTCCCGCCTCACCGTGGCCGTGCCCTCTTCTCCCTGCCTTACTGTGGCCCGTGGCCTGCACACACCAGCGTGCCCACTGGGTCCCGTAGCACTCGGTGCATCTCCATTATTTGCTGCCCGTGGCTCAGGGGTGAAAACGGCCACCGCTTTAGTAACTGCTCCTGAGCCTGGGGTCAATAGGTTAGCCTGGGCCCCACAGGGAGGGGCTTCTGGTCACATCTCACATGGGGTCCCTAAATGGCTACAGTCACAGCAGCTCCGCCAGGCCTGAGGGTCCCCCAGGTCCTCATAGGTCTGGGAAGCCAGCTCCTTACCCAGGAGTCTTGGTCAGCTTGGCTACTTCCTCTATGCTCTGGGCCCAAGCAAGTCAGGAGGCCAGACTCAAGCCAGGAGGGCGCTCTGCCCTGCCCCTCTGCCCAGCCAAGCCAGGCCCATCACGGTCCACAGTCCCCCGGCCAAAAGGCCACCCACACCTGAGCAGGAGTCAAATGCGTAACACCCCCCCCCCAGATGGAGCTTCCTCTTTGTTTTCCAGCGTTTCCATATGTTAAGAAGCAGAGGCCAGGCGTGTAACTCCAGTACTTTGGGAGGCCAAGTCAGGAGGATCACTTGAGTTCAGGAGATCGAGACCAACCTGGCCAAAATGGCGAAACCCTGTCTCTACTAAAAATACAAAAATGACCTGGGCATGGTAGCAGGGGCCTGTAATCCCAGCTACTTAGGAGGCTGAGGCAGGAGAATCACTTGAATCTGGGAGGCGGGGATTGCAGTGAGCAGAGATCGCGCCACTGCACTCCAGCCTGGGCAACAGAGCGAGACTCCGTCTCAAAAACAAAACAAAAAAACAAAAGAAGCAGAAATACTCTCAAATTCCTGAATTGTCCAAAGCCTGAAAACCCCGCAGTTTACGGAAACCCCATCCTCTTTTGAGCTTTTCCTCATTTGGGTCAAGCCCCGCCCTCCTCACTGTGAACTTGGTTTCGTGTGAAAACAAACGTCAGGCCCAAACAGAGCCCACCTCCGCCCGGCAGGACGCAGAGGCTGTGCAGCCTCAAACGCGGGCAGTCTGCAGGGCCCCTTCAGGGGCACCTTTGAGAGCAGGACCCCAGGGCCACTTTTGCTGCCCTGTGGACTGACGGCCCGTCGCAAAGCACATCTGCCCTTTCCGTTCAGAGCCTCCCCGAGCCCCACGCCTCCTAGACTCCCTGCCTTCCTCCTGCCCACCCTCTGAGGAGCGGGGTGCAGATGCCTTCTCCGATGCAGGAGGCGCAAAGCCAAGTGTGTCTCAGTCCCTTCTCCAGGACACGGGTTTCTGGTGGATCGAGATGGACACGAAGCCAAGTGTGTCTCAGTCCCTTCTCCAGGACACGGGTTTCTGGTGGATCGGGATGGACACGAAGCCAAGTGTGTCTCTTGGTCCCTTCTCCAGGACATGGGTTTCTGGTGGATCGGGATGGACACAAAGCCAAGTGTGTCTCTTTGTCCCTTCTCCAGGACATGGGTTTCTGGTGGATCAGGATGGACAGGTGTACCAGGGCTCCTTCCATGGCAACAAGAGGCACGGGCCGGGGCAGATGCTCTTTAAGTGAGTATGAGTCTTGCAGGCACTGCCAGGTGAATGGCAGATGCAGAGCAGGTGTGAGGCCACGTGGCCTGGGGACGTAGACAGGACTGACCATAGGACACCCCAGGCCTGATCCGGCCCCTGTCTGCCCCCAACCCCTCCAGGTTGTTTACATTCTGTGGTTTTGGTGTCATTCTGCAGTTTTTCTCCTATTTATTGAAATTGACCGATGGTGTGTTTAGTAGAGAAAACGTCACCCCCCGTCCCATTAAAATACCTCCTGAGATCAGGCAGGCGGAAGGCTCTCCAGGTCTGGATGAGGATGGGGGCGCCCTCCGGCCGGCAGAGCCTCCCGCCTCCAGCAAGCGCTAGATGTCTTCAGCTGTGTTGAAATTCCCAAGGCAGAGTCAGAGTCTCCACTGGCTGTGGAGACTGCAGGCCCCTCCTGCTGCCTCTCCCGTGTCATTGCCCGCTTCGAGTGGCAGAAGCTGAGTGTGTCCCGAGCGGGCCTGCCATCTAGGGTGGGGGTGGGCGGACGTGTCCCCGCCGCCTGTCACGGGCCTCCAGCCGGCCCTGGCGAGGCAGGAGCGCTCAGGGCCATCTGCTCAGGCCTATTTTTGCCTTGGTCCCTCGGTGCCTGCGGAGCCCAGTGGGAGGAGCCGGTCTGAGTCACTGCCGCCACCTGGCTCCCCATGCTGAGAGTGGACTCTGCATGTGTCCCCCAGGAACGGTGACAAGTATGACGGCGACTGGGTCCGGGACCAGCGTCAGGGACATGGGGTGCTGCGCTGCGCCGACAGCTCCACCTATGAGGTACCCGGGGGCACACAGCGCCCACTGCCCAGAGGGGACAGGCCTCGCAGTGGGCAGGGCGTGTGGGTTGTGTAGGGAGCCTTGCCCTGGCAGCTTCTCCACGTGCCAGGCCCTGCTCATCCCTTATCATCCCGTGTGGGAAGTGAAGTTTCCCTCTCCCCTCACAGAGAAAAACAAACAGGAGTGGATTAGTCTGTACCTCGTGTATACTCGGGAGATACCGGAGAAGCGGGGAAGCTCACGGGCGGCTCTCGCCTTTGGTTCACATTCCATCTTCAGCCAAACCAAAGGAAGAAGGGTGTTGGGGGCCAGTCATGGGGGTAAGGCTTGTGGCGTGGCTGAGGTGGGGCCTTCTCCACCAACAGGGGCTGCCGCGCCTCAGTGACCTGGGGCCTTTCTCCTCCTCGTAGGAGGAGGAGACACCCTTACACGTGGAGTTTCCTTTCGGATGCACATTTTTCTTATACAAGGGAAACTTCTACTCTGTTTTCAGAGCTTCTCCTGTGTCTGCAGTTTCTCAAAATAATCAGCTCAAAATAGCGCTGATGCCAAAGAGGCAGATTTTGGGGTGGCACGTTCTGGTCTGCAACAGACCCTACAAGGCGGGGACTAGGATTGTTCTCTGGGGAGAGGGTCGGTGGCCCCGCGCATGCAGAGAGCAAATTCAGGAGGTTTGGAGGAGAAGGTGCCGGACTTGTGAACAGGCTGGATGTGCGGGCAGGGGCGAGAGAGGAGTTGAGGCCGGCGCCTGGGCTTTTGGCCTGCGTTGAGTGGACAGTGGGACCTGGTTCAGGACGCAATCAGGAGACAGAAAACACACCCGTCGCCAGCGCGGCAGCTCACACCTGTCGTCCCAGCACTTCGGGAGGCTGAGGTGGGCAGATCACCTGAGGTCAGGAGTTTGAGGACAGCCTCGCCAACATGATGAAACCTTGTCTCTACTAAAAATACACAAATTAGCCAGGCGTGGTGGCGGTCACCTGTAATCCCAGCTACTCAGGAGGCTGAGGCAGAAGAATCGCTTGAACCCAGGAGGCGGAGGTTGCAGTGAGCCGAGATCGCGCCACTGCATTCCAGCCTGGCGACACAGTGAGACTCCGTCTCAAAATAAATAGATAAATCAATAAAAGAAACCACACCTATCACTCCAATGGGGAAATTGTAATGAAAGAGTCACTAACAAGGACGAGGCAGCTAGCTACCAAAAGGGGCAAGAGAAGGAATAGCAAGATCGCAGAGGCAGGAGGGGTCCCGCTGACAGCCCCTCGGCTGCGGGGGCTGCAGTTGTTGCCCGGGCTGGGTGGCAGGCCTGAGCGCCCCTGACCATCCAACGGCACTAACAGGAAGGAACCACACGTGCAAGTCAGCGCGCCGCTGCCGGAGGATCAGGGCGGCCAGGGCCTCGGAGAGGACTCCCTGGGGCCTTCGGGCCTTCGGGCCTCCGGGCTGCCATTGATGAGAAACAGCATTCTATGGTGCGGGCCGCGGAATTACGATATCAGCTGAATTCCCATCCTTGCCAAGATTCCCATGTGGACATTGGCGCAATGGTTGGAGAGAATGGTTCCTGGAACTGGGAGGAACCCAGCACCCTCCTGAGATTCAGACCTCAACAGAGGGTGTAGCTGCCAGCCCAGGTGGGAGAAAGGTTTTTTAGGGTTCCAGGGACCAGAGCTGCTTCTCAGGAAACTCCCCCTGAGGCACAGGAGACCCTTGCCAGAGACCGGACACTGGGGGGCTTTCTGCAGGCCGCTGGCCCCGGCCGTAGGCGTTAAAAGTAGACACACTTCCTCCCACAGTCCCACCTGGTTCTCTTTGACAAAGCCTGGCCTTGCACTTGCTGGCAAAGGAGAAACGTTTATAGGGTCCAGCTCCCATCAGGCAGAGCAGGCAAGGAAGGGGGTGCTGGGAGTTGAGAGGTGATGGATTGGCCGTTGGCATGAGGCCTCATGGGATGGTGGAGATGGGGGTGCAGGTGGGAGCCTCGTCCTGGCTGGGGCAGCTGCCCCACAGCAGGGCCTCAGAGCTGGTCAGATGTGGGGCCCTGGAGGGGTGGTCGGGCCCCCCTCCCCATGCATGTCCACCCTCCCTGCTCTTGAAACAGACCATCCTGCTTGGGTAAAAGTGCCGCCCATGCCCACTCTGGGAGCGTCCTTGCTGGGCCATGGGAGTCCACGTCAGCATTGCTGCCACCCCCGCTGGCCCAGGCCGGTGCTGCTGGTTCCCACCTGAGCCACAGGCAGGAGGTGCTGTAGTCTGGCCACGGCTCCACCTCTTCTGTCCCAGGGACGTGTGTTCGTCCTGCAGGACCAGGCTTCACAGTGTGCCGGGACAGCCACGACTCCCTTTCCTTCACTCTCCAGAGTGGCAGTGGGAGAGACGGCCACAGGAGTCTCTGGCCAGAATTCTCTTCTCCCTTCCTAAGGCTGAGCAGGGCCTCGCCTTAGGAGCACAGCTCTGGAGCACAGCTCTGGTGCACAGCTCTGGAGCTTGGGCTCGGGTGTGTGGTTTCACTTCCTGGATGCCAGGTTCTGCTCTCTGCCTTTCAGTGCATGGGCTCATGATTCTCGCCAGTCCGTGCAGAGTGTGGGTGAGGAAGCTAAGGCACAAGGACCACGGGCTCCCGCACCAGGGAGTGGACGCACAACCCTGGGAGCCCCCGGCCACTCACCAAACCCTCACGTTCCCTGAGATTCGGGAGGATCTGGTCAGGGCCCGTCTCACGGCCCAGGGACTCAAGTGCCACCTGCTGCCAGACAGGCTGTCCCCTCCAGCCTGGGCTGGGCAGGGCTGGGCAAGAAGCAGCTCCTGTTCTTCCAGAGGACCACGGAAGGACTTCGTCCTCCCCACCCCCACTCCCGGCACAGCCCTGTCCGCAAAAGCTGTTCTGTCCTACAGGTCCCCTGACTGCCACCCAGGCGCCAACTTGGGGCCACGCTGCCTGCTGGTCACTATTGGCCTGGGCGGAGAGAGGACCGGGCGAGGGACGGCTCCCTCCTTCCTGGGCTGATGGCAGCAGGGCACTCGGCGCGTCCACCAGGGGGCAGCCCAGCCCCTTCCCGGCACCACACTGCACCGGCCTCGCTGGAGGGAGGCGGCTCCTCGCTGGGAGCCTGGAGCTCATTCCCAGCCTGTGGTGTGGATGGGCGAGGATGGCCGGGGATGGGCACTGGGCCTGGGGCTCGCTGCATACGCCTGAGAACAGGCCCCGATTGGCCCCCCAGTGCTGCGATGCGGCTCTGTCGCCCCAGGCCTTTCTATTTGGGATGGCTTTTCCTCTTGGTGCTAAAGTCTTGAATTCCTCAGAGTTTTGCAGAGGATTCTGCAAAGGTCTTGGTGCAAACCCTTTGAGTGACCTACATTCCCTGGGGTTATAACATGACCTCCCCTTCCCTCTGCCGTCCAGGCCCAGAGGACTGGATGACCTGGGCGGGCCCTGGGACTGCCGGCCAACCGAGGCCCGCACACCCTCACCAGGCAGGCCCGTGGCCTGAGCTCCGTGAGGACACTGCTGTGTGCTGGTGCTCGGCGCCCCCTGGGGTCCCCTGGACAATATCCCCAGCAGCAGCGGTCCCCTGGCCTCGTCCACGCTGCTGACACCTGTGGGCACGGGCAGACCGTGGCCAGTGCATGCAGCCACTGAGCCGCCCGCTCCTCCAGCACCTTCTACAGGCATTGCCCCTGCCCAGACCGATGTAGACGCTAGGAACAGAGAAGGGCGCCCGAGGCCAAGAGGACAGGCTGGGCCCCGCGCCCTCAGGATCAGGGCCAGCCTGGGCCGCCTCCCACGCAGCACATGGGGCTGCTAGACTGCACTTCAGAGGCAGGAGGTTTTCACATGCCTGTTTGTGCAAGAAAAAACGACCGGGTCTGTCCCTCGGCTCCAGTTAATTAGGAGAAGCAAGGCTCTCTCGGTGCGTGGTGCCCACAGCCCAGCTGCGCAGCTGTCTGCTCTGCGCCTTGGCACTGGACCCTCCAGCCACGGTGCCCCTCCGCCACCTTCAGCCTGGAGAGCAAACGTGTCGACCCAGAGAGGCAGCAGCAGCTGGAGAGGGGAGTCCGGCCGCACATCCCCAGGCCCGTCCCGAGTGAGGGGACGGCCGTTCCTTGTGATGTCATTCGTCAAATATTTAGCCCACTTGAAAAAACATTTTGTCAGCCAGGCACAGTGGCTCACACCTGTAATCTCAGTACTTTGGGAGGCCAGGGTGGGAGTATTGCTTGAGCCCAGGAGTTTAAGACCAGCCTGGGCATCATAGGGAGACTGTCTCTACAGAAGAATTTTTTAAAAATTAAAAATTAGCCAAGCATGATGGCACACACCTGTGGTCCCAGCCACTCAGGAGGCTGAGGAGGGAGAACCACTTGAACCCTGGAGGCAGAGGTTGCAGTGAGTTGAAATCATGCCACTGCCCTCCAGCCTGGACGACAGAGCAAGAACCTGTCTCAAAAAAATAAAAAACCGAAACACCAACTATTTTGTCGTGGTAAAATACATGTAATATAAAAGTTACCATCTTAACTGCTTTTTATTTTGTAGAGGTGAGGTCTCACTGTTGCCCAGGCTAAGCGTGAACTCGTGGGCTGTCAGTGCTTCTGCCCCGGCCCCAGAGGGCTGGGATTTCCCGCGTGAGCCACTGCACGGCCACACCCGTTGTGAGGCACACACACCACAGCACCTCCAGAACCTCGTCATCTTCCTACCCAATGTATCTCTGGACTTAACTGCTCTAGGGGCCTCCTGTGAGTGGCGTCACACACACGGGTGTCCTTCCGTGCCTGGTTTGTTGCACCCAGCACGGTGTCCCCTGACGCATCCATGCCAGGGCCTGTGCCAGCCCCTCCTTCCTTCCTAAGGCTGAGCAGTGCCCCGCCTTGTGGGCAGACAACACTGGGGAGGCGTCCCGCGCCTGGGTCCCGTGGGGGATGCTGCTGTGAGTACGGCTGCACAGAGACCTCTTCAAGGCCCTTGGGCTGCAGACCCAGAAGGGAGATTGCGGCATCACGTGGTGATTCTGTGTTTAATTTTTGAGGAGCCGCCATGCCGCTTTCCACAGCGGGCCCCCCGTCTTACCTTTCCACCCACACCGTTCAGCTCCTCCCCCGCCTCACCAACACTGCTGGTTTTCTGTAGTTTTTGTAGAAGGTTACCTAATGAGCATTAGCCCTCTTAACGGTAGCCACAGTTGAGATGCAGGCCCCACCCGCTGTTGGCCGTGGCCACCACGGCACACCGGGTCTCACTCCTCTTTGCCGCTTCTTGGCAGCTGTGGTCTCCCCCCATCCTGGCCACCAGTCGCGTCCATCCCGGAACACCTCCCCTCGCCATGTTGGCACTGCCAGGCTTTGTGGAGTGCCTGTGTGTACAGGAGTTTGGGCCTTTGGACTTCTTCCCTGGGAGCGTGAGCCGTCGAGTGAGGCCACGAGCCCGGCGCCGTGGACACTGAGTTGCCTCAGAACTGCCCTGCCGCCCCAGCCACACCCAACCAGCTGGCTGTTCACTTGTTAGAGATCATTTTATTTTCTGAGAACCCTAGAAAGTAGTGAGTCCTTTCTTCTCTCGCCCCTGGCCTTCGCCTCTGCCCACCTCGGAGTGTGCCCTTGGCACCTCTTCCATCAGCTCTGATCCTCCCATCCGTAGCAGGAGCAGCTCCAGGACACGTCGGCTGCCACCCGAGGCAGCACGAGCTCCGGGCTGGCGAGGCCCCCATGGAGACCTGCTCCCCTCCCGACAGCAGGTGTGTCTGCTGCAAGCCGTGTCTCCCGCCTTGCAGGCAGTATTCCTTCATGCAGAGCTCTGTGAAGAACCTTTTTTAAAAATGCGTTCTGGAAAAAAATGCACTCCTGAAAATAAATGTGGTACAGCTTCTTCTGACGGAAAACAAGAACAGCGGATCCCAAAGCAGAGAAGGCTCCTCTTCCACAGCGATGGGAGCCACGCGGCTCAGCCCAGTCCCGGGAGCCACAGACGTCCTGGGCTGCAAGCACCCCCGCCAGCCTGCGACGCCTTGGCCATCTCCGTCCCCGGCACCCCTGCTTTATGGCTTGCTGCCTCGACCTCCCAGGACCCGAGGGCTTGGGCAGGCCCCACACGTCCTCCAAAACATCCTCTCTGGGAGCCGGACCGGAATTCGGAGCAGACGGAGTGGACCGCGCATGTTGGAGCGTCTCCCGCCCGTGTTGGCGGTGCGCCCCTCTGGGCGTCCCTGGCCGCGTCAGCTGCGCCGCGGGTGTTGGCTGTCTCACACGCCAGCTTTCCCAGAGGCGCCACTGGGCGCCGAGCACCTGCTCACCGCACAGAGCAGGTGGCTCCTTCTGGGCAGCTTTGCCCGCTGCAGTCCCCTAGCCTCCTCTTCTCAGCTGGGCGTGTGTGGGAATGCCCACCCAGGGTCTCCAAACTGCTACCCTCGGACCCAGGGGTCACAGTCCAGGGAGCCAGGACCAGTGGGGGACCCCAGGGGTGCACGTAACACTGAGAACCATGTAAATAACTTGGGGTATTTGAGCATGGCCTTTGGGGAATCTGGCCGGCTTGCCTCCATGGACCCCTCGCCAACCTGGGGCAGTGGAGGGAGCTGATTGTCACGCCGTCGTGGGACCAGTAGAGCCACTAGGGCAGGCCCCATGTCCCCTCTGGAACTCCTCACAGTTCACACCTTAAAGCCTGCGCACTCGAGATGGGACCAGTGAGGTCCAACGCAGGACCCCTGGTCCTCGCTGTCCCTAGGAGGCGATGTGAAGGGCCGGGCCTCAGAAACTGGAGGCAGCAGTGCCCCTCCCACCAAGGCACGCCCAGCCCCTGGGCAGTCGAAGGGCCCAGCCAGGAGGGTTCCTCCCTCGTGACATGGCCTGAGGGGGCTGAGCAGCTGGTCCTGGGAGCCCTTACCTGGTGCACTGGGCCGTGAACCTCAGCAAGGCCCCGCCTGCTTCAGGCCTCAGGTTTGGCAATGGTTGGGGTTACTTTCTGCAGACCACAAACCCTCGAGGCTGACACTAGGGAAAGCTGGACCCCTGCTCTTCACCCCCACATCTAGGGGGTGTTGAACCCCGAGGAGCACCATACCCAGGACTCCCTAGGAGGGCCGGAGGCAGGAAGTGCCTGATGGTGCCCGGGGAGGGTGGACGCCTGACCAGGGCCTGAAAACAGAGAGAGTCGCTTCCAATAAAAGCACAGAAAGAAAACAGCATGAATGAACGGACCGGAAGTGCTTCGCAGGGTGAGAGCCGAGCACTCGGACCGGAAGTGCTTCGCAGGGTGAGAGCCGAGCACTCGGACCGGAAGTGCTTC